CCCCTGCTCACACCCGGGCGCTTCCTCCCATGGAGCACCCAGCTGCCACCACCACGGGGGGACCCGGCTGCCACCCCAGCTGCTCCGGGGACACGATTTACCCCCTTCCTTGGGGAATTTGGGGCAACACTGCGCACCCCTCACTGCTGAGGTGAGGAAGGCTCGGGGGGGGAATCAACTCCCCAAAACACCCCAGAACCCAATCACCTTTGTCAGAGCTCCCTTGTCCCCAGGTTTCGGTGGGGTCATGGGGTCTGGAGCAGTGGTGGGGGTCTCGCTCAGCCCCTTTCCCATGGGGACAGTGGCCAGGCTGACACCTCCCTGCCCCTTTCCCACCTCAGATCCTCAACATGGAAGATGACCCCAACTGGTACAAGGCCGAGCTGTACGGCTGCGAGGGCTTCGTCCCCAAAAACTACATCAGGGTCAAGCCGCACCCGTAAGTACCACCCTGCTGCGTGGGGAAGGACCCATCGGCACCAGGGCATCCTCTCCCACCACCCAGGCAGCGATCCCGACAGTGCCCAAAGGGCTGCCACGAGCCAGGGTAGCCCCACACATGGGGAAACTGAGTCACAGAGCAATGGGGTCTGCCCGATGGGTCAGTCTGCCGTTGTCACTGCAGCCAGAGGGGACAGGAGGTGCCAATGTGCCCGTGTACCCCCGACATACAGAAATTCACCCCTCACACTGGGCTGTGTGCTAAATAAATGATAATTGGGGAACAACAAAGCGCTGTGGGATTACAACTGCATTAGACACAATCCTATTACTGCGTTATTAAATCCCAGCGTAATCCATCCCTGTTTTAACCTGTGTTTTATGTATCGTTATCCCCTGGTAAATCACTTTTAAATGCCATAGCAAAACCTGCTCAAGGCTGCAGCTGGAGAGCAGGAACAGGCTTGGGGCAGTCCGGGGCAAACCCCATAGCCTTGGGTTAACAAACCCAGACAGGTGAGATGTGGCCTCTGCAGGGCTGGCACTGGGAGATGCTCTGTGCTGAAATCTGGGGCAATATATGGGGCAATTTTAACAGCTAGCAGTGGTCTCCATGACCTAGGGCTCCCAAATACACAGATGCAGCCTTGGTAGGGACAGGAGATGAGGACTCTGCTCTTCCATCGTGTTTTGGGAGCTGCCAGCAATGTTTCACCCAGCACAGAGGGTTTTCTGCTATGTAAAACCCCTTGGCAGTGCCTGGCAGGGCTGTTCCCAGGGGTGTGATGGGATATGGGGGCCATGGGGTACGGGGGACAGTGAGGGGACAGGCAGCAGAGTGAGAGATAAGGTGTGTGACGTGGCGAGCCGGGTGACAGGATGCGGTCGCAGCCGCCAGCGATGCTGCATGAGCCCTGCGTGGATGAGGCACCCTGCGGTGTAACCCGTGAAAGAGCTGTGGTGAATTTGGGCAGGGGAAGGGAGAAACCACTGTGGGTGGGTCCCAGCCCTGTGGGGAGCCCAATAAGGACCCCAATGGGGACCCTGTTCCTGCCAGCACCGGGCACTCGGTGCCTCCGTCCTGCAGGGTGGGGATGTGGCCTTGGGGTGTCCCCAGGTGTCACAGGGTGGCCCTGCAGCTGAGCAGGGTGGCCCTGGCAGGTGGTACGCGGGCAGGATCTCCCGGCACCTGGCAGAGGAGCGGCTCCTCAAGCACAAGCACCCGGGAGCCTTCCTGATCCGCGACAGCGAGAGCACCCCGGGGGAGTTCTCCATCTCCGTCAAGTAAGTGGCCGTGGGACTCGACAAGCCGTGTCCCCAAAACATCCCGGCACAGCTTTGCACGGGGCCTTCCTCTCCTTCCTCCCATCTGCATCCTCCACCTCCATCCTCAACGCTGCTTGCACCCCTGGGCTGCATCGCTGCCTTACCCAGGGCCCCTTCCTGGGGTGCCTCTAAATATGGGTAACGATGGGGCCAAGCTGAGAGCACAGAGGACATGGCCTGGAGGAACAAGGTGCATCCCCAGGGACAAAGGGACGCAGCATCCCCATGCCACTGGGCTGGTGATTTTGGCCTCGGTAGCCAGCGCCTGTCCCCAGGGCTCTCATCCCATCACTGCCCCTTCCCTGCCCGGGGCTGGGGGAGCAGGAGCCAGCCCCAGGCCAGCCAGGCACTTTCTCACGCTGCTGATCTCTAATTAAGCATTTAAGGAGGTTCTTGCCCATAATGAAAGGGAGCCGTGTTCTGCCCTGCGTCACCAGCACGGCCGGGTCCCTGCCCCTGCCCAGGGGCCTGGCAGGTCCTTGCAGTGGCCCTGCGCCAGCCCCGCAAGTGCGGGCACCCCAATTTGCCACCCCCAGGTACACACCAAGGGGTTGCCAACATGCGGGGCTGGTGAGGGAAATCCCATCTTGGGGGCCCATGGGCACACAGGGGATTTGGAAGCCCGAGCCCAGCCTTTGCCATCTCCTCACCAGCTCTGATGAGGTGCAGGGACCACAACCCCCGTGCAGATCCTTCCCAATGAGCCCTCCCAGAGCCCAAGCAGCCCCAGCACCCAAGCCCATGGCTCCCCCGCTCCCTTACCTGCCCTGCGTGAGTCTTTTGTCCCCATGGCCTCAGCTGTGTCCCCTCATTGCTCCCGGGACAAAGCCACCTGCCTGGGGTGACGTCCGTCCTCCTTCCGCAGCTACGGCCAGCACGTCCAGCACTTCAAGGTGCTCAGGGAGAGGAATGGCAAATATTTCCTCTGGGAGGAAAAGTTCAATTCCCTCAACGAGCTGGTGGATTTCTACAGGACGACCACCATCGCCAAAAAGCAGCAGATCTTCCTCCGGGACGAGGACCAGACCCAGGAGGTACCAGCAGGGGATGGGGCCATGGGTGTGGGGTGACAGCACCAGGTTGGGAGCTCGTGTCTGATCCCCTTTGGGATCCCCCATTGCTTCCCCAATACCAGGGCTGCCACGGGCCCACTATGGTCCATGGGGAAACTGAGGCACGGGACAGGCCTGTGGGGCAGCAGCACCGTCCTGGTCCTGCATCCCTATCATGTGGGGACTCAGGCAGTGCAGCCTGGGGCAGAGAGGCTACAGATGGGGGCACCTCTCCCCCTCACCAACCCCTGCCCTCATCTTCCCTTCAGGTGAGGAGACCCAAATTTGTGCAAGCCCAGTTTGACTTCTCAGCCCACGACGGCTCCCAGCTGCCCTTCTTCCGCGGGGACATCATCGAGGTCCTGGACTGCCCCGACCCAAACTGGTGGCAGGGGAAGATCTATGGGCGCGTTGGCTTCTTCCCCCGAAACTACGTCCACCCCATCCACAAGTGAGCTGCAGGCGAGCAGGGGGGACCCCCACTGCCCCCCACTCACTGGAGCCGCTTTGTGCCCGCACGTGGACTGCGCGTCCCTTTGTCCCCATGGACGGTGGCCGTCCCCACGTCGACACACATGGTCCTGGTGCCACGTGGGCTGTGCTGGAGGTAGAGGCCAGGCTGGCGGTGATCCCCATCCAGGGGCGCCCCAAAACATCAGCCACAGCTCTGCCTGCTCCCCGACCCAGCAGACTTCCACCACCCCCAGCTTGGGCTCATGGCATCAAACTGGGGCCATGAAAACTTTCCCAAAGCTGTGACCCAGCAGAGTGGAAGCAAAAGGGGAGGAAGAGCAGGCACACCCCAAATCTTTGCTCCTCTCCAGACCCTGTAAGCAAAGCCCTGGCTCCACGGAGGGCCGCAGGAGGCCAGGATGTGGCCAGACTTGGTGCCAGGGCTCAGCAAAGGCTGATCCAGGGGAATTCAGTCCTGCGGGTGCTGTTCATAGCTGCATATTGTGGCTTTTTTATATTCTTTTTTTATTTAGAGCTAATAAACCGCGTTTGGATGACATCCTTGAGCACGGCTGCTCCTTTTCCACCACCACCATGGTCCTCCCATGACCGCGTTCGCACGCCTGCTGCTTCGCTGGGGTTTTGCTTCCCCTGCAGCCCCCATTCACCCACCCCAATACCTCACACCAGACCCCTCCTGAGGACTTTCTGCCTCCAGAAATGCCCCCTGCACCTCACAGCCCCCCAGGATGCACTCAGGGACCACAGCGCTGAGAACACCCAGCTCATTGCAGCGGTGGATTTAAACATTCCCACATCCCAGATGCGACAGAGAAAAACCAGCATCCAAATCCTCATTTCTGTCCCCACCAGCAGCTTTGCCACCCCCTCAGGGGGCTGACAAACCTTTAGGCAAAATAGGCATAGCAGAAAACATTGATGCACATCAGGACCACGGCATTGATGCTGCAGATGCGGGCCCAGAAGGGAGGCTCCGTGGTGTCCCTGAGAGCCACAGCTGGGGGTCCCTCAGCCTTTGGTGTCCACTGGGTGCCCAGGGAGGCTGAGCAGGAACCTGGCATAGAAAGATGGTGAGGGTGGTGGACAGTGGGTGGGACGGCCCCGGGGAAACTGAGGCACAGGGCATCCATGCCATTCTGCTGCCCATTACAGGCAAGGAGTGGGTGGCAGTGGGGATGCCTGACACCCACAAAGACACACTCACCATTTGGAGGTCCCTGGGATGTGCCATCCACAGGGGACTGGGGGGGCTCCCGTGACAGGGTCCACCAGGTGAGATCCTTTAGCTGGAAACCAGGATGAGATTTGGTGAGAAAACACCCCCTGGTGAGACCACCCCATGGGGACCCCCCCCACCGGCCGAGCTCGGGGTGCACCTGGGTGACACCAGGGAGGTCCGGTGGGTGCTGGAGTGAGGGGTCCCCGGTGCTGTGCTCACCCGGGCTGGGGGTGGCGGGGGGGTCAGGAGGCTGCCCCCCACCACGACGACGGCGGTGGCGGCGCAGAGCAGCACGGCGAAGTGCAGTTAGTGGATGTCGGCCAGCAGCCATGGCCGTCCGTCAGGGACCCCGCAGCGGGGTGTGGGGTGCACCAGCTCCAGCCCAAACCTGGCCAGCCCCAGCGCCAGCCCCACCATCAGCCCCCAAAATGCTCCCTGCAAAGCAGAGGTTCACAGGGGGTAACCAGAGGGGGAAAACAGCCACTCCATGGGGGGACGAACTCTGCTCCCTTCTGCCACCCCTGACCCTGGCCCAAATCCGCAACCCCTCGCAGGGGATGTCCCCTGCCAGCCCCACTGGTTGGGCCACACTTGGTGGCCATGTGTGGTGGCATCTTCCTCCTCCTCCTCCTCACACCACCCACCTGAGGAAACACCAGTTGGGCTCGGTTCCTCTCCCCAGCATCACCTCCCCCTTTCCTCCTCCTCTTAACCCCAAATCTCACTGGGTCCCCAGGGGCAGAAAGGGCATCCCCAGGGCCACCCCATGTCCCCAAGGCCACCCCAGGCGTGAACCTGCTCGTTAGCTCGGGGCCAGAAGACGGCCAGGATGAAGACAGCGGTGACAGGAGGAGCCAGGGAGCTGGTGACGGCCTGGATGTAGACGTAGAGCTGGCCACCACTGGAGCTCTGCAGGATGGGGATCCAGACCACGCTGAGGGCCACCAGCACCACCGTCACCACCCTGTGAGCAGCAGTGATGCGGGGGGGGGGGACATTCCTGCCCCATCCACAACCTCCTCACACCCATAGCATCACCGTGGCAGTGGGGGGTCAGGGGCTGGGTCCCAGTGCTGGTGCAGAGGAGCTGGCCTGGGGATGCTGGAGGGTCAGTGAGAGGATGCTCGTCACTGGGTGACATCCCCAGGGCCATGGAGGATGCTAATTGTGCTCCATCCTGGGTGGGTGAGTGGTCCCCAGCCCCCTTCCTGGACCCAGAGGCTGTTTCCTCCATGGGGAAACAGTGGGCTATGGGCACATCTGCTATGGAAACCTCTCTGGGTGCTCTGGCCAGATTTGGGTGATGCTCTCAGCACCCCCACATCCAGCTGAAGCACCCAGCTAAGAGACGGGGACATGAGCTGAGCTGCCCCATGGCCAGGCTGTGACAGAGGGGTCACCCAGCACCATTTCCATCGTCACCCAAAGCCCAGTTGCACCCCACAGCATCCCCCTCCTCTGAAGGAAGAGGCATTGGCCAGACCCCAGCTTTCTGGGGCCAAATCTGAGCAGAACACATCCCCAAAGCCGCTGTATTTATAGCTCAGCTTGGCTCGTTTACAGAATCACAGAGTTACCTACATCTCCATCTGCTCATCTTGAAAAGCAGAAGTAGGAGAAAATATAATAAAATTTTAAAAAGCAATGAAAGCATCTCGAGATGGAGCCCCCCCTCCCACCGCCTGCCTGGTACTTTGGAAAGAGGAAGCGGCCTGAGCATAAAATGCACGCCCTGACCCAAGGGGTAGGAGAAAAACCCCGCGTTTGGTGCCTCTTTAGGCCACAGGGGATGCTAAAAGGTCATGGGAAAAATGCAGGAGTCAGCATGGTGGTGAGCTGGGGGTGCCGGCAGGTAGGAAAACCCCAAACTTGCTGCTTAAACAGCTTCTTTTTCCCTCTCCAAAATGTTTCCCGGTCGCTATATCCCTGTGGTTTTATAGACAGGTTTTGCAGCACCGCGCTCGCTCTAATTGCCCGCGGCCAAAAAAAAAACAAGGCGCCGGGCACCGCGCCCGCCAGCGACTCCCGCCCCGGGTGGGCAAAGCCCTTGGCAAACATTCATTAACAGTCCTGGGAAAGCTCATCACACCCCTCAGCACCCGCGCCGATGCCAGGGAGGGGCGAGGCAGGCCCCGATTCAAGCACTCCAGTCCCTATGGGGGAACCATACAGGACTGTGAGCCCCAGGATCAGTGCCCGTCCCCTTCCCACCCTCCGGAGATGGATGATGACA